CACTGGGACCCAGCAGATGCATTAACCTCCTGACTCTGCCACAATGCAGGCACAAAACTATTGTGAAATATTTCACTCCCCGCTGACTGCTGGCATCAATTTTTAAACAAATGTTTAGCGTGAGCCCTGTGTTTTGATAAGTAATTCATGAATAACCTCCATGTTACCCCGTCATCGGATCCGACTCTGGTGCAGCAAAAGGGCAGATTGGACACACCCAGCTTGGGCATGTTCAGAGGGAGAGAGGTATACAATGAGCGGATGGTTCCCATGCTCCTGGCCTTGTTCAGTTTATGCAACTAGAAGATGCCAGAACCTGGTAAAATGCCTGTTTTTGGGGATCACAATTCACATAATTGGCCACTAGACTCACAACTCGCTCTCCCTAATGGCAGGACCTTAAAGGCTCAAAGGGTCACAGAAATACTTTATCCTTGTGCTTTGGATTGCCAGGCATGCACAGCAACTAGAGACACATCTCCCTCTTTTCACCCTAGAGGCAAAAGGCATGTATGGAATGCAGTATTTTGGGGGAAGCGGAAACAATCAATGGCATGCTGACCTTTTTACTCCTTGGTCATTTACTTCTCAACATGGTGCCCCGGGAACACTTGTTGCTCATCAGGGATCTGCTGCCATTAACAGTTCTCCCCTCCTCTCAAAATCCACCCTCCTCCTCCTAGAATAATGTTTTCCATAGTTAATTCACTGCTATAGAAACAATGAAACTTAATGGTACTTTTGAAGACTAAAATGTTGATTATTTGACTTTACAAAAAATTTAGTAGTTTTTAAGAAGCTACATGACTCTTCATTGTTCTCACAGTAAATTGGCGCCTCTGCACGGCTCATCTGTGGGACTCAGGATAAAGAGGAGGAATTTAACAGCAAGAAGACAAATCTTGCCAGCCTTAGGCTTGCAGAGCATGATTTTCTTTTGGGCTTATCAAACTGTGATGCTGTCATCTTATCAACCTCAATGGAGCTATAATGTTAATGTGGTTTACCTCTATGGTTTTTCACTACAACAAAGAATATCACATCTCTTGGCTTCCTGAAACAAAAGACTTCCCTATTATTTTGTGAACCCATATGAACCATGTTAGCAGTGGGGAAGATTAAATGAAGATGCCAGGAGGGGTGGGGCTCATCAAAGCAGTAGGAAATGAGAGCTGTAAGCTGCACCTGTCATTCTAATGCATGAAAATCATAGAATCATAAAATAATGTAGTTGGAAGGGGCGTATAAAACCATCGAGTCCAACTCCATGCAGGAATCCAAATCAAAGTATATTTGACGGATGGTTGTCTAATTTTCTCTTGAATGACTCCAGCACTAGAGCGCTCATCATCTCCTGAGGTAATTAGTTCCATTGTTGTACTATCTAACAGTTAGGAAGTTTTTCCTGATCGTCAGTTGAAATCCGGCTTCCTGTGGCTTGAGCCCATTATTGGATTCTTGCATTCTAGGATGATCAAACAGATCTTGTCCCTCCTCTATATGGTAATCTTTCAAGCATTTGAAGAGTGATATCAAAATCCCCCCTCAATCTTCTTTTCTCAGTTCTAAACCTGCCCAATTCTTTCAGTCTTCCCTCACAGGGCTCAGTTTCCAGTCTTCTGATCATCCTTGTTGCCCTCCTCTGAACTTGTTTCCAAGTTTGTACGCATCTTCTGAAAGTGCAGTGTCCAGAACTGGACACACCAGTTTGTAGGCATCTTCTGAAAGTGCAGGGTCCAGAACTGGACACAATACTCAAAATGAGGCCCAATGAGCACCAAATAGAGGAAAGCCAGTACTTCATGGGCTTTGGAGACCAGTCTTCACCAGCAGATTCAGGGGGAAGCAGACCCATGATTCTAGCTGTTCTTCCAAAACAGTCTGGCCAGTGCTTTGTGTTGAGTTATGTCTGTCATATGTCCTTCTCTGTTTTACTTAAAACAAAACAAAACACTGCTGAATAAAATTAATAACATAAAACAACATAAATGATTTTGTTTCCACCTGAGACGATTTGGAGAGAGAATTAAATTTTCTTCCCTTTACGGAACCCCCTTCCAAAATTGCACTGATTCTTGTGAAGGTGCACAACCCCCTTCCTCTTTATTAATATATTAATGAATGTATATATTCTCAGATTCTCACCACACATGAAAATAAGTACCTATTTTCTGACAGTCTCTCCAACACAACTTAGAATAATTTGTTTCTATGTGATTGAACTTCACCAGAGTTAAATACCTTCTCTAAACTAACTTATGATTAGAGATGGACGTATTTGTATTCGAATATGCCCGCACAGATGGAAATAATGACAGTCTAGCCCATTGGGGCCGGACTGTCCACTCACGATTTTGCCGCTGCTGCCAGCTCTGCGGAGGCTTCCTATCACGCTGTTCTCCGCAATGGACTAGCCACTCTCCAATCTAGCAGAGAGGCTCGTCATCTTGCCTCCTGCCAGGGCTGGGTAATCGACTGCAGACAACGGCACGATAGGAAGGTCTGACGAGCTCGCGTCAGCAGCGAAATCGTGAGTGGACAGTCCGCCCCCATGGGGCTGGACCCTCATTATTTCCACCTGTGCGGTGATATTTGTATATGAATACCCCCATCTTTACTTATAATTCCCCCCCTTTATCTTCATGGACATGTTCAATATTCTTATATCCCATGTATTATATCAAACCTCAGTACTTTTCTCTTCTCCCAAATCATGTTCCAATAATGTTTTAAGAAAACCTCACTGGTCCTCTGCTTCTATTAATATTTTATAAACTGTTCTTTGTTTTGGATCAACAAAGAGTCTTGTGGTACCTTAAAGTCTAGCACATTTTATCTGGCATCACCTTTCTTGGACTGCAACCCAGCATCATCCGGTGCTCAAGATGCCACCAGAATACCTATTGCTGATGAAACAGGCTAACACAGTTACTCCTTGCAAATTTAAGTTAGCTAGCGGTCCTTGGGTATGAGAGAGGGTGCTACCACTCCTCCGAAGTAAGGTTCAGCCTCAGTCTGGTGCTTCTTCATACACAGCGACAAAGCAAGATCCTGTTCTTTGTCCAAGGCAGCAAAATGTCTTGGGAGTCTTTGTACGGACATGATCTCAGAATACAAGACATCTCACAGAACTGTCATAGTGCTCAAAACTCCGACAGACACCTAGCTGTCAGTTTTGCACACTAATCTTGAAATCCACCAGCAAACAATCGTACAACAGGGTTTATTTTGCAAAATGTCATGGCAACAAGATGTTTACGGATTTCGGAAGATCCTCAGCAGAGGAACTGACAAAAGGAACGGTGACTTTGACAGCTTCGCTTAAAGAGGGTTAATTATGATCGAGTTCTCAGCGGGAAGTTATGTATAACTTTGCCCTTAATGGAATGCACTGCAGAATGGGTTTTAAGCCTGTAAAGGGACTGCCTTGGCTGGCTTGACTCTTTGTTTATTGATATTCACTTTGTTAAAAGCAAGAGAATTGTACTCAGCTGTTCGTTGCCAATAAAACAAAGAAATTGCTTACTGCCTTTTAACAACATTAATTTCTTAATAAGTACACGGCAGCATATTGGTCTGTCTTCCAAGCTGGCTTTCAGGAGTGTTTCACAATTCCTATTCAAGTCCTGAACTAGGCGATTATAGGCTCCCTCCCTCCCCCCTCTCTTTTTTTTATCAACTAATTCCATTACTTAGCAATTTAGCACAATTATGAAAGCAAGCGATTCAATTCTGAGCTACATTTGTTTGCTTGCTGCTGGCTCACTAGAGAGGCTGAATTCATCGAGATATAAGTGAGTCACAGTTTGGGAACATGTCAGAATATTCAAAAGATCAAATTAAGTATTAAAATCCATGGGCCAAAAGAGAGTAAACTTGCACTGATTGAACTAAACAAAGGATGACTTTGAGAACTGGCCTATCGGGGAGGTGTCAAAAGATGGCTCAATCAATGGGAAATCCACAAGACCATCTACACAGAATATCAGTATGGCCTTGCACCAGAGGTGAACTCTCCAGTGACTGAGTTTTTATCACCAGTCACATGTCATGATGAAATTGCACATGACAAGGCGTTAACATTCATTCGATCAGGGCATGGAGGGGGAAATCTAAGCCTTCCTCATTCTGCTGAGGGCTTGATAAATATCATTTTTCTGAAGCAGATATGTGCATTGGGAGAGGGAATGAAAAAAAAGCCGATTCTGACTTCTATGCCTCCTGAGATTCCATTAATATACAGTCCCGCCAGAAGATGCACCTTCAGCAAAAGGTAAAGGTTCCCCTTAACAATTTTTGTCCAGTCATGTTGGACTCTAGGGGGCGGTGCTCATCCCCGTTTCCAAGCCATAGAGACAGCGTTTTGTCCGAAGACAATCTTCCGTGGTCACATGGCCAGTGCGATTAGACACAGAACGCTGTTACCTTCCCACCAAGGTGGTCCCTATTTATCTACTTGCATTTGCATGCTTTCAAACCACTAGGTTGGCGGGAGCTGGGACAAGCAACGGGCGCTCACTCCGTCGCGTGGATTCGATCTTATGACTGCTGGTCTTCTGACCCTGCAGCACAGGCTTCTGCGGTTTAACCCGCAGCGCCACCACGTCCCTGGTGCACCTTCAGCTAGCCCGAGATATTTTGCTGCCTGGAAGGGCATACTTCCCACCCAGTGCATCTATAAAAGCCAACTGTACTTTTTAGTTGAAACTTCCCACACGAAAGGTGGGACAGTATTCTCCAGTGTACCTGAAAACAGCACACTAGTTTAGGGGGCAAAGGAAAAGCCACTGGCCACGAAGCTGTCACCTCCAAATATGACCTGTACTGCCCAGCTTCTGCTCTCCGAGGCGGCCACTTCAACCCTGCCTTGCAACTCACAGTAAACAGACAAGATAGCAGATCAGAGGAAGAAGGAATTGTAAATGCTGGGAGCCCAGGAAAGGGAATGTGGAGTCAAGGTAAGAAACTGAGCAAAACGGAACGGGAAACAAGCATCTTACCTGGAGGTTTGTAATCTGCAGTGTGCCATTGTCCAACAGACTGATCCTTGGGTCACTGCCCACAATCCGTTGCCCATCCTTCAGCCACTGAATGCTGGGTAGGGGATTCCCAGTTACCTGGCACTGTAGCTGTGCTGTGGAATCTATGGCAAGTGTCTGATTGGTTGGCCCTCGGCGAATGATTGGTGGAATACGATCTGATGTCACTTTATGTAAAACAGAAAGACATACTAATGTAGTGTGGCTATTAATGATTTCTGCAGTGAACTACACCAGTCTGTAGTGCGTCTAACCCATTAAGCCATTTTGCACAGATAGTCATTTTGGATGGATGATATTTTGAGATTCAGGTCTCGGCGGCGAAGAAACATGGGCGGCAGATACCCAGGCTGAAATCCACTGGTAAATCACAAACAGAGAAGGCCCATTGAATCAGCGGGGATCTGATGAGCCACCTCGATATGTTTCATTGATTCAATGGGTCTACTCTAGTTCTGACTTGCTACTGTATTTCACCCAGAGAATGATAATGCACACAAGAATTTTCAATCTATATAAAGAAGAATAAGCAGTGTATCCCCTTTCCCCATTTTTTGGTTTTGTCCTTCGTCCACGGAACTCAGTCTGGCACATAACATTCTGTCTTCAAGGTTATAAGAAGTGCCCTGCTAGATGAAACCAAAGGTCTCTGTGGTCCTACATTGGTAAATCACAAACGGAGAAGGCCCATTGAATCAGCAGGGATCTGATGAGCCACCTCGATACGTTTCATTGATTCAATGGGTCTGCTCTAGTTCTGACTCACTACTGTATTTCACCCAGAGAATGATAATGCACACAAGAATTTTCAATCTATATAAAGAAGAATAAGCAGTGTATCCCCTTTCCCCATTTTTTGGTTCTGTCCTTTGTCCAAGGAACTCAGACTGGCACATAACATTCTGTCTTCAAGCTTATAAGAAGTGCTCTGCTAGATGAAACCAAAGGTCTCTGTGGTCCTACATTCTATTCACAAACTGAAGATCATCAATAAGATCTGGAGAACATGGCACTCTCTTACTCCTGTTCTCCATTCATTTTCATTTCACTTCATTTTATGATGTGTACTCCACCCTTTTACTCAAGAGGCAGCTTATACTATTAAAACAGATAATAAATTAATCATTGTATTCGCGAAGGCTTTCACGGCCGAGATCTAATAGTTGTTGTGGGTTTTTCGGGCTCTTTGGCCATGTTCTGAAGGTTGTTCTTCTTGACGTTTCGCCAGTCTCTGTAGCCGGCATCTTCAGAGGAATGGAGTAGAGGACATGGACAGAGTTCCTACTCCAGTCCTCTGAAGATGCCAGCCACAGAGACTGGTGAAACGTCAGGAAGAACAACCTTCAGAACACGGCCAAAGAGCCCAAAAAGCCCACAACAAATTAATCATTAATCATTACAATATTAAAAAGCAATTCAACAGTACCATATTAAAGCTAATACAGTGGTACCTCGCTAGACGATTGCCTTGTGGCATGAAAACCCCACAAGATGATTGATTTTTGCGATCACTATGGTGCCTCGCAAGATGTTTTTTCAATGACTGTTCTTCGCAAGACTTTTTTTTTTGAGACTGATGCTTCGCAAGACTTTTTTTTTTTTGGAGACTGATGCATAGGGAACCTCGCAAGATGATTTTTTCACAAGACGACGATTTTCTAGGAACGAATTAAAATAATCTTGCGAGGCACCACTGTATCCTTACTAGAGATGGGCATGAATTTAAAAAATGAATCACCAAATTCATTCAAAAATTGCTTTGTTCAAAAATCACTAATTCCAACAAAAAGAAAGTAAGATTTTTAAAGCAATTTTTGATTTGTGTATTTGTTTGGCTATAAAATGCCCCCTTAGGCACCTAGTGATACCAAAACTGAGAGTATACTTACATTTTAAAGCATCATTTACTTACTTACTTACTTACTTACTTACTTACTTACTTACTTACTTACTTACTTAGTTTTAGCTGCAGTACAGCGTTTTAACCACTGCGCCACGAGGCTCTTAAAAAAAACCCTCAAAAGGCAGCCTGTTATTGAAAAAAAGCCTGCCTGAAAACAAAGATCTTTGCCTGCTGGTGGGAGGACATCAAATAGAGTGCCAGCCTGGTGTCCAGAGTCATGTCATCTTTGGCACCCTCATTACCATCAGAACAAACTTGAGGGTTAAGTTTGAGTGGAAGTCCATGGATGGTCTGGAGTTTCACGGTTAAAGTCTAAGTTAGGGTTTGATTTTTTTTCTCTTCCCCCATACCAGCCTGGGACTAGAATTACTACATCACATTTGGTTCTATAGATGTAGTACACCACTAAATGAAACAACACGCTGAAGCTGTGAAAAACAAACAAACGAAGCAGCAAATTCAGAAGAGATTGCTCACTTAACACTCACAGGAACTTTGCTGCTTTTGCATTACACGGCTTGTGCTAAGTAGACCACAAACATGAACAGGGTGTTTGCATAAGTCAGTCTCTAAACATGTCAAAACACAGCTGGGAGAAACCAGACAGAAAAGAAAGCCCAATGAAATCTTAGTCCCAGCCTTCCTAGAAAAGTAATACCTTATCCAATTCCCACTCTACCGTGTGATTTCCCCTTATCAGCAGCATAGATCAGGCATACCTTTGCTCTCTTAAGCCAGGAAAATGATAGTGCCCTCTCCATTCCTTGTACACAAGACTGCTGAATTGGCAGCTCAGTTTTTCTTCAACCTTTCTGCACCACGCATCTGAAGGCAGCTGGGTAGCTTAAGTGGTGCAGGACAAGGCGCCTGGCAAACAGTTCTCCCCATTTTGCTGCTATCTCTCATCATGATTGCTCACTCTGCCTTATGGGTACAAAGCTCAGGGAACAGAAGGAACCACAGAAGGAAGACGGCAGGGCCAGAGTTCAAAGCCCCCCTCTACTCCAGCCAGCCATGACCATTGGCCATGCTGTCTAGCAGCTTCTGGGTAGCACAGCCCAAAACAGTAACTTTTCCAGACTGTGACTTGAAGAGACAGAGCAGGTCCATAGAATCACTCACTCACTCACTCACTCACTCACTCACTCACTCACTCACTCACTCACTCACTCACTCACTCACTCACTCACTCACACACACACACACACACACACACACACACACACAGAGAGAGAGAGAGAGAGAGAGAGAGAGAGAGACAGAGACAGAGACAGAGACAGAGACAGAGAAAGACAGAGAATTGTGTATAATCCAAAGACCCCCAAAATCTGGAGCTAGCACTGGGGAGAAAAAGGTGTTCATTCTTGGTACTCCTCAAATAGGCCCAAGAGGAAAAATGCTTGTAGTGTGTAGCTAATGTGACATTTCTGCTGGGCTGTGATTATTCCATCTTCCATCCACTCTCACACGATTCCCCAGAATCAGATTGATCTGCGCAGCATCTTAAAAGCTTATTCCACGACAGAAGGCAATTTGCTTCTTTGCTGTCATGAGAGCTACAGGTGATGGAACTTATATGCATCAACATCAGTTTGTTTAGTAATGTGTAATTAAATAGTCAATCGAAGGCACAGATTAATTGATTACATACACGTAATGCCTGGGAACTACAGGCAGGCATAAATGTGACGATGCACACCTTCAATCTGCTCTATCACCTTCCTCCTCCAAAAGGACACAAAGAATTTTGATGAGCTGCCAAGATACAGATGGAAACTTTCTTCTTGAAGCTAATACGGGAAACACAGGGACATTTCTTACACAAAGCAGACTGGCTTATTATTAGATGCAGCATGAAACCATGTTGCTTATGATAAAGAACATAAGAAGGGCCCTGTTAGATCAAGCCAGAGGTCTATCTAGTCCATGATTTTATTTTCAAGATTGGCTTGTTGACTGCCCTATAGCCAGACAAGAAGGAAACAGAACATCCATGGCTTCTTCCCAGCACCTTGCATTATGCCCTCTAGTGCTGGTGTCCAGCAAATACTGATGTTTATCTAAACAAAATGGTAATACTCAAGCATAGAGAAGTATCTGTA